GACCTGCTCAGCCTGCACCCAGCCCCACTGCCAGAAGCCGCAGCTGGAGGGATTGGAGCAGTCGTGACTGGAGCAGCTGGGAATGGTCGACCTGGAGTTCGCGGGGCTGGTCTACAAGCGGAAGGTGGTGAATGCAATCATCATCAAAACGGAGCACCTCTGAGAGCGAGTAGCCGTTTGTTTGCACGATGGATGTGTAATGTCCATTTTCAACTTGCAATGGATGTGCGTGTCGAATCAAAGCGGGTTGCAAAACCTGCCGACATTTTCGTTGCTGCTCAATCTCAAATGAGGGGGGTGTGGATTCAGGTTCCAACCCTGTGCATGAATCTGCTTGTACATGCTCCGCCCGCTACAGACTTCAAGATCACTGACAGCAGTGTGAAAAGGTAGTCAACGGTTTGCTGCTTGCCTAGGTATTCCCTTAGGTGGCCTAGGCTTGATAACACAGGCCTGGCCAAGGCCCTCCGGACAGAATCTTAGGCAGACATGGGTGAGGGCGGTGGGGGGCGGTGGGCCGGAGGTAGGAAGATTAGAGATTTGAGCGCCCTTGGCCCGCTTGGGGTCGGGGCGAATATACTGGATCTCTGCGCTTTGACTTGCAAGCGGAGATTGGGTAGTTCAGGCTGAATGCGTGGAAGGGTTCTCTTGCTGCCTTTGGCTGCGCCTGGGATTGTTGAAATGTGCCGCCAACCGCCTCTAAACCACGGCCTCAGGGTTCGGCTCATCCAGCACAGGCGGGAGAGGCCTCCTGAGCCATACAAGCTTTGGTGCGTGCAGGGAGCAGCGGTGCTGGGAACAGCTTCATGCCCGTCCTGCCCTCATTGGCTCAGCGCCAGCACTTGAACAGCTATGCAAGGCAGGAAGTAAGGCAAAAGCATATAGACGTAAGCGAGACTGGAGCCATCCTGGGATGCAGATATCCTGCGCATGGACTAAACTTGACCAAGGCCCAATCCCCTCGCAACTTCATACCCTCGGCTGTCTTTGAGCGAGCCGCGACAGAGCTGAACACCCTTCTAACAGGCCGGACGAGAATTTTAAGCCAGGCACTGGTAGGTACTTCAGACTTTGGTGAACGGGCAGGTGGACATGTAGATTAATCATGAGTGGCGTTGCGTTCCTTAGAGCCACTTGTGGCCCTTGGCCAGCTGTTGCATGACCTCAGGCACGGCTGCATCTCCAGATGCACCCAGATCAGCATCGGCCTTTCTGAACGAGGTTGGATAGCTGCCTTCCCCTCGTTCCCCTTCCTACCTCTACCAGCGCTGGACGGAAAATCCAGTTCAACCCATTCCCACCCAGAATGTGAGAGAATGCCCACCGCCAGGTGGAGGAGCTGTATGTCTCTTGCTTGCTATGAAAAGCTGACAATCTCCATTTGGCGGGTTGACCCATCACAGACACAGAAGATTATTGAGTTGTTTTTGTTTCCCACTTGCATTTTGGAGGGGAAACCGACCGGAGAGCCAACTTGCCATCTCAGGCAGGCAGAAATGAGGCGCCACAATCACCCAGGGCTTCCCAGGCATGGGCACAGATTGGAATGGGAGCTTGGGGCAGGGTGGCTTCAGTCACGTGTCGAAATTGAGCTGTCGCGGCAAAGTTTTTTCATCCTTTGTGTCCGTTCGGAATTGCTTATTGCATAGCGCCCTTCTCGTAGCTTGCGCATGAGAGTGCTTGTGTGCGCGCAGGCGCGCGCATGTGTGTGGGTGTGTGCTTGTGTGCTTGTGTGCTTGTGTGTGTGTGTGTTGTGTGTTGTGTGTTTGTGTGCTTGTGTATGTTTGTGTGTCCGTTTTCGTACTTGCGTTTGTGTCTGCTAATTGTGTGTGTGTGTGTGTGTGTGTGTGTGTGTGTGTGTGTGTGTGTGTGTGTGTGTGTGTGTGTGTGTGTGTGTGTGTGTGTGTGTGTGTGTGTGTGTGTGTGTGTGTGTGTGTGTGTGTGTGTGTGTGTGTGTGTGTGTGTGTGTGTGTGTGTGTGTGTGTGTGTGTGTGTGTGTGTGTGTGTGTGTGTGTGTGTGTGTGTGTGTGTGTGTGTGTGTGTGTGTGTGTGTGTGTGTGTGTGTGTGTGTGTGTGTGTGTGTGTGTGTGTGTGTGTGTGTGTGTGTGTGTGTGTGTGTGTGTGTGTGTGTGTGTGTGTGTGTGTGTGTGTGTGTGTGTGTGTGTGTGTGTGTGTGTGTGTGTGTGTGTGTGTGTGTGTGTGTGTGTGTGTGTGTGTGTGTGTGTGTGTGTGTGTGTGTGTGTGTGTGTGTGTGTGTGTGTGTGTGTGTGTGTGTGTGTGTGTGTGTGTGTGTGTGTGTGTGTGTGTGTGTGTGTGTGTGTGTGTGTGTGTGTGTGTGTGTGTGTATGTCTGTTTGTGTTTGTTTGTGTTTGTTTGTGATTGTTTGTTTGTGTGTGTGTGTGTTGTGGGTGCTTGTGTGTTGTTTGTTTGTGATTGTTTGTTTGTTTGGTGGTTTGTTTGTTTGTTGGTTTGTTTGTTTGGTTGGTTGTTTGTTTGTGTTTTGTGATTTTGGTGTATGGTTGTTTATGCGTGTGTGTGTGTGTGATTGTCCAACGCAGGCATGGGCTGGAGGCGCGTTTTGCTTGCAAAGAAATTCACGTGAAAGGCAGCATGAATCAACCGGCCGCTCTTGTCAATCCCAGGCATGGTTTGCCACCAACTCCTATTCAGCCTGACAAATATTTTCAATCAGCGGCTCAGTCCAGGCAGAGCGAGTACCGTGGAAGCGACCACGGTAGAAGAGTTGAAAGAGGTGCGGAGCATTGGGCATTTGCAGGAAGCAGCTTGCAGAAGGTGCTTCGGCTTCTACCAACACAGTTGACATCAGCTTAATCGCATGACATGACATGGCAAAGACCGTGTCCCTTCTGCTTGGCTTGAGTTGATCCTGGCTGCTTGAACATCCTCACTCATGCCAGACTGGCCACCCACCAAGTCAAAGAGTGAGTATAATCAGTCTAGAAAGAGTGGTACGCCAGGACACCAGCCATGCAATGCGAAGCCTCGATTGGACAATCAGAGCTGTCAACATGCATACTATTCTCTCACCTTGTCACCGGGGAATGAGTGGTTTATTTTTGCATAACCCTTGTCGAAAAGACATGTTTCTATAGCAAGCCCAGGCTATTGATCAGAAGCTTGCAACAGATCCACGGTTTCACTCGAACAATTTGACAGCCAGGTGCTGCGCGCACTGCGGGCCCTTGCACAGACCCTAGTGAAATGGCAGCGAGCAGACTTCAAGTGTTACGTGGGTTTCTGGCGGTGTTGCCCTCCTAGACGCGTCAGCCCCCCCTTGCCTCATACCAGTTGTAAGCTGAAGAGTGGCGCTGTGTTGGCTGAGCCCTTGAGCTGACAAACGCTATTTCTTTCAGTGATTCAGGATAGCCTGGCGAGCCAAAGCGCATGGCGAGCGGTCACCATCGACCCGCTGATGCCCATGAACGTGATGTATGGCGCTGGGCTGGTTTTTAGCCTGCTCATGCGCCGACCTTGGCTGCCAATGAGTCGCGCTTTGATGAACACCTGGGCATGCACTTGTTTCACCTCTTGGCAGTTAGTTGGATTTGATGGAATGCCAAGCAAATCCAGGCACCTGCCTGGAGTTTCAGCACCTACAATGGTGTGTGTTGGCGGCCGGCTTGATCGGCTTGTGCATGGCCTAGAGGGATGGACAAGTGATGCGAAGAGTTGTGGCCAAGTTGTCTTTCTGCGGCTTGTTTGGTTGAATCAGCCAGCTATCACCTCAGCAAATCGGGTACTCTTCTGGCATCCTTGTACCACGTGCAAAAAACCGGCCCCCTCAGGCTACACAATACAAGCAGCTTCACGCACCGCAGGGCTTGGAGGAGGCAAGGACGTCAGAAGGGGGTCACGCGCAGAGATTGGATGGTTGGCAGGTTGCCGCTGGCGCGAGTGCCGACCCTAGCTGCATGGTGCTCACATGGATCGCAGGGTTTGCCACGACTGATGGATTTGGAGCCTGCTGGCAGTCTTCAGGCAGCCCATCATGAAGAAACACATTATAGATACGTACATATATATATATACATAGAAGAATGTCTCAGGAGCTGATCTTTCGCTCGAGAAAACGGTTCCTCAGGAATAGCAGTTGATCCTGAAATTCCACGTTACGACAAGCATGCTCCAATAGGGCCAGCTACCTTTTGACACCGCAGGTGCCGAGCCCCTTTGTGCAGTTTCAGCTGAGCTGGCCATGGACCCGAAGCGTGGGCACTTGCATTGCGACGGTTGTGGGTTGCCTTCGGATCCGGCAGAACCTGCGACCCAGCGGGTACATTAAAACACAACCGAGACATTGGATGACAAGTTCAACACCAAGCCTACAGCGCAACAGCGCGAAATGTGCGAGAGTAGAGGAGGGATGCTAGACCTGGCGGCGATCTTCCGTAGTATCAACCACAAATGCTTCGCTCGATGATTGCTGTGCTCGGCTTGAATGTGGTAAGTGAACAGATGAACAAGGATTCCAGGACAACCATGGATGGGAAAGTAACAGAGCAATCGCAGGCAACCATGGAGGAACATAGCTAACAGCAAAGGGTTACTTTAAGGGCAGCATGATGGATAACTCGAGCCTACATGAGCTTCCTATGGGAAGCTAATTGGAAAAGTTTTTCATCACCCCACTGTGGCTCCACCTTGGGCTTTGCAGCTGTGCCTTGCAGGACAAGCTGGCTGCCGCACTAGTTTCGCAGGGCCTCACAGCCCAGGTGGGTGGCACAGCGGCCACACGCGCACGCCCGGGAGCATTTTGCGCGCCAGGCTGCCAACCTCAGCAGACAGTCCCCACCCCAAGCCTTTGCGTTTGTCGAAAAGGCCACTGGCCATCCTACAATTCTGAAAGCGTCTCAAGTGCTTGCTCATGCAGCCATTCAGCGCAAAGCAGCATTGAGCCATAACTTGTAGCGTGCCGCCCTTTAATTGTCAGCAGCAAGCAAAGTTTCACCCAAGAGCCACTTGAATCAAGGAAGAGTTCGGCTTTCTCCCCTGGTCGAGCAACGCGCATGGTGACGCAGCTGCCTTTGGAGCTGACCGCAAACGTGCTGCTTACTTTAGTGGCCGATGCCACCAAGATCAGGGCTTTTCCACGGGCAGATGAACAGCTGTGCAGGCGGGTTGGCGGCAACTGCAGTCCATCAAGCCCAATTTTGGGAGGAAGTCCCCTGCTTGCGCAGGTGTGGCTTCAAAACGCCGCTTGGCCTCTTGATGGTCTGTGGGCTGTTGGAATGGCGCACGCGCAGCATCCCAGGTGCACCCCAGCGAGTTGTCTCAAAGGATGTTGCTATGGTAGGCAGTGCCATAGGAGCAAAGATGTTCCTTTGCAATCATCGCAGAGGCTTGCTTCTATGATGCGGACATGTACCAGAAGCTGGCGAGCAATCCTTGCGGGAAATTTGTGGGGCTTCTTGCCAGCGTTTGGAGCTGTTTGTCCAATTAACTTTGTAAGGTTGCCGGCACACTGGCCCCGACCCCACCTTTGCCTGCCTGCGCTAGGCAAGGCGGCTGGCATGGTGCTGTGGCCTCCTCGCCTGGCATCAAGCGCAGCTGAGCTCAGGTATTGGACAGTATTTTCTGTTACCTAGAACTTGGAAGGCTTGGGGTTGTCGTCAGTCATCAATGCGCTGTCAGGACCTGATAGGGATTTTGTCTATCCTCTGTGTTCTTGTCCCTTGTGCCCCTCCTCCAGTACATTCTGATGTGCGGATTGATCACCCGGCGGATTATCAAAACTTCCAGAGCGCAGGCTTTCGGGCCAGGGGGTACGGGTTGGGCGATGGCGTCGCGGGGTCGGTGGCGATGCTGACGCAAATCCCTGGCTGCTGTGGTTGCGAACTCCATCTCAGTTGTTTGCAAGGGCGCGACTGAGGTGAACGAGGTCACGGTGGGTGGTCCTACTCGCGCAGGAACAGCCAGACGACTGGTTCACTTTGGTTCGCCTTGCGTTGCATGGCGAGAACCTGGTTGCTTCGGCTTAGTACAACTCTTTGGGGGCTGGCGCGCGTGGTGGTCGGGTGCGGTTTCTGGTGCGCGTCAAGGAGAATAGCAACACGTCCACACGTGACGAAATGTTACAAAAAGGGGAAAGTGGGTGGAGCTGCGGCTGAAGCTGGCCAGCGTGATGGCCACTGTGCAGGCTGGGCGCCTGCTAGAGCCGGATTTGGAGTGAATAAAATGTCGCGCTGTTTGCTTTTTGGGCATGGATCTATTGGGAGTGTGTCCCAAGCGAGTCCCGTTGGGCAGGGTGTGCGGGCCCTTGGCTGATGCGCAGAAGTTTTCCTGCAATTGCTTTGCTGACATGCCGCTCAGGACTTCATGCGCAGCCCTGTAAGGGCTGGGAGTGGCGCGCTGGGCGCGACGGCTTGAGACAGGGAGGACGGCGCACCGCTGCAGCGATTGGGTCCCGACTCTTCAAGCCAGGGAATTTGGCGCCTGTGGCACGCAGGCCTGAGTGCAAAGGAACGATGCAAAGCACTACCCCCTCTGAGTGAAACGTGGCAAACAGACTTATCGTTTCGCACTGAGGCAGAGACCTCGCGGAAGTCTTTGGCACGGCTGTTGTACGCATCGGGTTCCTCTTGCCGCGCCTTGCCATTGAACCTGCAGATTGTTTTGACTTCTCTGAGTTGGCGGCTGGGCGCTACAGACCAAGTTGTCCCTCGGTTTCACAACTAAGCGGCTTCAAGGACCCCACAATACCGTAGAATTGGCTGGTGCCATTGTGAAACCAGTAGAGCCAGCGAAGCCGGTGGGCCGAAGTTTCTAGCAATAGAATTGTGATTGTATGTCTCTTTCTCGCTCTGCATCGTTCTCTGTATCTCTCTGTTTTATTTCTATTTTTGTCTGTCTCTTCCTCTTGTTGTGTCATTGATTTATTGTTGTCTTATTTACCTTTATCTGTCTCTTTCTCTCTCTGTCTCACTGTTTCTCGCTCTCTCTCTCTCGGTCGATCTATGTGTGTATTTGTGTGTCTATCTATCGATTTGTCTATATCTCCATCTATTTGTTCATCTGTCTATATCCAATGTGTGTGTGCCTACTTATTGAGACTTCTAATATCTCATTATATATGTCTATGTATCTATCCATCTATCTAGTCTATCTATTCATTTAATCTAATCTAATCTAACCTACTTACCTATCTATCTATCTATCTATCTATCTATCTATCTATCTATTTATCTATGTATTTGTCTCTATGTAGGGCGAGCCAGGAGATGCCCCGGCAAAAAACAGTCTATCTATCTAATCTGTCTGTCTTGACCTTGCGAAGCGCTGGGCCTGCCACGAAATCTGTGCCTGACCTTGCGAAAGGTGGTGCGCCTGTCATGTAGTCTGCGCCCAACCATTCAACAGTGCGGTGCCTGCCACGAAACCTTTTCGTGACCCTACGAAAGTGCTGCACTTGCCACGCAAACTGATCTCGCGAAAAGCAGGCGCGTTGTGCCACTGTGTCTGGCTCCGAGATCGCTCCGAACACGCTCCGACCAGGCATCGCGATCAGGCTAACTTTCAGCCATCCGGAAGCAACCTGCACAGGGTGGCATGATTTGGACGCTGCTGCTCCCCGGCCACGTGCGCACATGTTTGTTGCTTGTTGTGTTTGTTATTTTTCCGCGAGTTTTTGTTTGTTCTTCTCTTGGCATTCTGTTGGAGAGCTCGGTTTTGTCAATTGATGTCGGTACCACGGAGTTCAATCTAAACTTCGCTCATATGTTTTCCTTTTCATATTTTATTCAGGCGTAAATGGGGCATGGCCCCAGCCGAGACTTGAAAATGTGGCCATATAGCGCAGAGTTAGAGATGGTCAGTTCTGATCATGGCATGCCGAGGTCAGCGAATTTGAGCACAAGCACACCTGAAAGTGCAAGTGGAACAGAATACGGCTATATGTTTGCATGTCACATTGTTGAGGGTTAAAGAGCATGGTACTGTCGGCTTCTGATTTAGAGCAGGTGAAGGAAAGCTGGTTGAAACATGTACGAGCCCCGATTGGGGGAAATCAGGGTTGTTGCAGTGCAGTCTTTGAGTGGCCCGCAGCTGACCCAGCAAAGGGGTTTGCGCATTGAGGAATTGCGCGCCCGCTCTGAGGATACCTGCGGATCAACTGCATGGCTTTGCAGCCTGGAGAGCTTTGGCTCCAATGAGGGCTTCGGGGATGGATTGAACTGCCCGTTTGAGTCCATCACTGTGATCAACTAGTGCGACACGTGTGACGCTATGAGGGTTTGCGCGCCAAGAAGTTGGCAAGCTTCTCAATCTGATTTGTTGGCTTGAGGTTGTTTGGTTCGATCCTAGGAGCTCAGCTGGCTGTCCACATGCTGCCCCGCGGTGGAGATGTTGCAGCTTTGCTTCTTTGGGCCAGGCACCGGAATGGAGTGGCTCAAGACCTGGGCTTCCACTCTAAGGCAGTGCTTTCAGCTGCACTCCTATTCTTGTTTGCAGCTCTTGATTTTTTGTATGTAGGGCGGTGTTGGTTTTTCCTGCTTTTTGCAGCGTAAAGTGCTCGCTTCATTGCAGCTCAGGTTATGTATCCATTTCTGGTACGATGACTGCCTGGGCCCGCCGCCAGTCCTAGATGTGGCCAGGATGCACAGGTGTCACTTTGCTTAGGCAGTCTCAAGCAGGAGACAAAGATTTTCTCAACGAGTCAGGCCATTCAAGAGATCCTTCGGTCCTGCACGCTGGACGGTTTGTGGCTGACTGGCATCGACTGGCCGCGGGCACGCTCGCAAATAGCTCATGCGGTGCAGGCTGCGCTGCACCTTGGTCGGAAGGCGTCGGTTTGTTGAAGGGTGTCCGTGGTTTACAATTTCCAGGAGTTCTCTACTAAAAAGGTCAACAACGGGTGCCTGCATTGTCCCATGGCCATTTGTCACAGTTGCTGCTGCGTATGCATCAGCCCGGCACCTCAGGTCCAGAGCGGCGCTGCACTGTTGTCACATCTCCTTGGAGGGCTCGCAACCGTGGCCAGAAGAGGACGCTTGGAAAGAAACTAGTCACTAACTAGTCCCACTAGACGAATTGGCCACATTGAGCACAGTGCCAATTGGTTTTGGGGGAGCTGTGCTGTCCGCGCTGGATTGACCCTCGGCTGCGAGGCTGGAGGGAGCGCAAGCACAAAAACAACAAAACAAATGTAGAGAGGGAGTGTAAGCAAAAGAACTGCGTTTGCTGAAGAAGTTCTCTGAAAGTCCCCTTGGAGGAAGGATGGGTGCGCAACAGTTTGCCGTTCTACAAGTTCTCACGGCCAAGCCGAGACTCTTCGAAGTTCTTGGATTCTGATTCACCCAGGAGCTGGGAGCCATGCGTGCCAGCGGTCTGAAAGTCAAAGTGAATCTACTTGCTGACCGCACGCGCTGACGCTGGATCATTCTGCTGCGCTTTGGGGTTTCAGGTGGGGCTCGTCAGCATGGGTGCGTGTGTGTGTGTGTGTGTGTGTGTGTGTGTGTGTGTGTGTGTGTGTGTGTGTGTGTGTGTGTGTGTGTGTGTGTGTGTGTGTGTGTGTGTGTGTGTGTGTGTGTGTGTGTGTGTGTGTGTGTGTGTGTGTGTGTGTGTGTGTGTGTGTGTGTGTGTGTGTGTGTGTGTGTGTGTGTGTGTGTGTGTGTGTGTGTGTGTGTGTGTGTGTGTGTGTGTGTGTGTGTGTGTGTGTGTGTGTGTGTGTGTGTGTGTGTGTGTGTGTGTGTGTGTGTGTGTGTGTGTGTGTGTGTGTGTGTGTGTGTGTGTGTGTGTGTGTGTGTGTGTGTGTGTGTGTGTGTGTGTGTGTGTGTGTGTGTGTGTGTGTGTGTGTGTGTGTGTGTGTGTGTGTGTGTGTGTGTGTGTGTGTGTGTGTGTGTGTGTGTGTGTGTGTGTGTGTGTGTGTGTGTGTGTGTGTGTGTGTGTGTGTGTGTGTGTGTGTGTGTGTGTGTGTGTGTGTGTGTGTGTGTGTGTGTGTGTGTGTGTGTGTGTGTGTGTGTGTGTGTGTGTGTGTGTGTGTGTGTGTGTGTGTGTGTGTGTGTGTGTGTGTGTGTGTGTGTGTGTGTGTGTGTGTGTGTGTGTGTGTGTGTGTGTGTGTGTGTACGCGTTTGCATGCAACTTGTGGGGGATGGGGGCAAGAAGAAGCGATGAGCACAGCAGAGGTTGGACTGCGTAGCTTGGCGGGCCTGACTTTGGTGTCGCGCACGGTTCAACTGCTCGGGCCATGCCTGAGCCTTTGAATCTACATCACATAGCTTCAGTGACACTGGCTAGGCCAAATGGCCTGCCAGGGTCTGAGACAGCGTGGTGGTTCTTCCAAGACCCGCTTGCAGGATTGCACAAGGATCATAAAGGTGGGTGCACGGGGCGGCATGGCTTGCTCCTTCAAGACACTGTACCCTGTTCACAAGCATCGACTTGCACAAGGCGTGGGAAAAGCCAGACTACGCTTGTCTTTGCCTCAGCGGGTGGGTTTGCCAAGCTGCATGTGGCTTTGCGCGCCTCGCACGCATGTGTTTGTGTGTGTGTGTGTATTGTTGTGTTGTGTACCTGTATGCCAGATACATGGGGCTGGCAAGGATCAGGGTGGCAAAACAACGGCCAGAGTGTTGATGAGATAGGCACAGGGAGTTGCACTGCGTGGTCCATTCACTGGAGCTGCCTGAGATTACACAAACGCCAAAACAAAACACAGAGCCGAAACCATGGAAAACAACCTCCAGAACAACTGCCACGCCTGCAGCCAGTCATGGCCATGGTACTGTCTGCCCTGGCAAAGCGCTTCCTGCGCCAAGCGCCCTGCAAGGCCAAAATGCAGGACAGGGATGTGTTTTCGGTGGGATGTGAACGGAGTATGAATTTGCCCTTTGTTGGCTGAAGCAAAGGAATCCTTTTGAGGAGGCGCCCTCACTCCCCCACAAAGTATACAAAGTATGAGCAAAACAACATTTAGGGCCCAAGAAGGGCCGTGTTCTCTTTCAGCATCGTCCGTGCGGATGGCAAAACGGCATGGCCGGGCCTCGTGAAGTTGGGAAGTTTGTGTTTAAATGCCAACCAAAAGCCCCGTAGCACGTTCGGTTGTTTGCTGCTTTCGCGAGCAGAAGTTGTGTGAAGGAAGCTTGCCGTTCTGGAGTCCTTCTGCCATGTGTGCTTACTGGCGTTGGGCTGCTGGCATTCTACCGAACAAGACCGCAAGTGGCCTGCGCCATGGCAGCACTTTATATCCGGGCAAAGGTTGGGGCTTGGTAAGTTTGCATTTTGTAAGCCTTAAAATGAAGATGCTAGCTAGGCCAACACAGGTATCGTGAAGATCTCCGGTGCGCCGAGACCATCTCTCATGGAACTGAAAACCGGCTCATGTCGGTGTGTATGGAAACGACCAAATATGTGAGAGTTGCTTTTGTTGAGAAGCCAAACAAATCCCAAGACTCGGATTAGGTAGAAGATGGTTGACGCGCCACATGGCCATGCATGAAAATACGGGATACCTCCAAGGCTGACATCCCTTTAGATTCAGATTCACGTTTCCCATCTAAACGGTGACAATTTAACATTGCCACACGCACACACGAGCGCACGCGCACACACACACACACACATACACACGCAGCACGTAAGTTGAGCCGCCTGACAATTGACAGCGGGTGCGTTTATCAAAGGAAGTTTAGTAGAAAATCTTCCGTAATACGAAAATTGAGTCACAAGATCCGGACGCACTCAGAAGTGAAGTCAGCACGGAGAATCGCGAAGGGTACCTCTGTTCTGCGCGCGGGTTCGCCACGGGTTCGCCACGGTCTCGCCACGAGGGCGGAATGTTGCCCACTGGCACGGCCGCGCAGGCTGTTTCGGAGGTTTCTCGGAGGTCTATTTTGCGTGGCAGGCGGCAGGCGCAGCACTTTGGCAATTTCGTGGCAGGCGCAATGTTCTGTGCCCGTGCAAGGGTTTCGTGGCAGACGCAGTTTTTTTTTTTCGCAAAGCCTAGTACAGATTCCGTGGCAGGCGCAGCACTTTCGCAAGATGAGGTGATAGATAGATAGATAGATAGATCAAATGGAAAGAGAGAGAAGAGAGGGAGAGAGAAAGAGAAAGAGAAAGAGAAATACAAAGAAAGAAAGAAAGACAAGAAACAAAGAAAGGAAGGAAAGAAAGAAAGAGCGAAAGAAAGAAAGAGGAAGAAAGATAGACAGAAAGAAGAACGAAAGACAGAAATAAAGAAAGAAAAGAAAGAAAGACAGAAATAAACAAAGAAATAATTAAAGAACTAAGAAATAAAGAGATAGAGAATGAAAAAAGAAAGAAAGAAAGAAAGAAAGAAAGAAAGAAAGAAAGAAAGAAAGAAAGAAAGAAAGAAAGAAAGCAAAGAAAGAAAAGAAAGAAAGAAAGTAAAGACAGAAATAAAGAAAGAAAAGAAAGAAAGAAAATACAGAAATAAATCTAAAAAAATAAATAAAGAAAGAACCAAAGACATAAATAAAGAAAGAAGAGAAAGAACGAAAATAAATACAGAAAGAAAGAAACAAAGAAAGAAAAAAGAAAGAAACAAAGAAAGAAAAAAGAAAGAGACAAAGAAAGAGCGAAACCCACAAAAAACAAGCCAAGCTTTTCCTATAGGCACTCTTCTCGCTTTAGAAACTTCCGCCCACCGGCTTCGCCGGCTCTACTGGTACAAGGGTGATACCCAAAACAGGCGGCTAGAAAAGCTTCCGCTCTCGCCTCGAGGCTCGGAGAAGAAGGTGGCCTTAGTTACCGGCAGCTCCTCGGGCATTGGAAAGGCCGTATGTGACCTCTTGGCTTGCTAGAAGCCCTCCATTGGTTCCACGGGTTGCAAGGCATTCTCTTGCGCTCCCGGGCCCACTCTCGTCCTTTGCCAGGCCATTGCCGAGCGACTTGCCAAGGAGGGCTTCCAAGTGGTGGTCAACAGCCTGCGTCTTAGGGCTGGTTGAAAGCCACGGGCGCAAGTAACTAAGTACCTAGCTGACTTGAATAAGTGCTACAAGGGCTTTGTTTTCTGCCACTCTTGGGCTTTGCCTTTCTATGCGTTCAGGCACATGTCGAACGGATGGTGAGGCCATGCCTCAGTGCAACAGGGGCAAGCGGTGGCAACCTCCCTGGGAGCGACCTACATCCAGGCAGACTGCAGCCAGCGCGAAGGCTGCGAAGCGTTGGTGGAGGAGGTAGTCCGACGTCACGGGCAGCTTGATCTCTTGGTGTGCCGCACAGCTCAGAAGCCTTTAATGATTTCATGTTCATTTGATTGGTGTTGTTCCCTGCCGTGCATGCAAAGCGCAGCTCGCAAGGTAATGCCGGACTTGGGAAGGTCATACCCCATGACAAGCTGGAGCTGATCGATGATGAGTTACTCGAGCCGAGCAATGCAGTCAGCTTTGTGCTGTTGGTACGGCTTGCCCTTGCTGCCAGGTTTTAATGCAGCATTTGGCTCAGGGAGGGTCCCCAATAATATTTGGGTGCTGCCATGTTCAGATCTGGAAGTTCTGTTGCACCAGAGCGGCAAAAGAGTGAATTCGCTGGCATCAATGACATTGGCTCTCCGGCAGTGGTTGGGAAGCCAACACCTGCAAGCTTGGATGCCGACCTCTCAGATACGGACACCATTCCAGCACTGAGAGAGGGCACCACGTACTTGCTTCGACGGTTATCCACTCGAAAGAGCGTGTGGGTCATCACGACGCTTTTGGCAGCGACTATGTGCTATGCTTTGGCGCGGCCGCAAGGTTGCAAAGAGGTGAGCAGCTGCGTGCAGCAGCATCAAAGCATTGCGGACCTTAGCCTCTACAGCGGTTTGCTCGCAGCTGCGCTTGCATCAGTCCTGATGCATGAGCTGGCAGCGGTCATTCTTACCCATCGGACTGCCAAAAAGGCAATGCATCTGATCCCCAACATCAGGGAGTCCTTACTGCCATCTGCTCTTTTGTGCACCACCTTTTTTGTACTCCTCATCGAGAATTTGATCCTGGTCATTGGAGATGTGCCATGGTTTGCACATGCAGCCAACTTGGGAGATGCCGATTTGGACCAAGAGCCAGCTTCCCGTTTGAGTTGGCAAGCTTGTAATTTTCGGCAAGGGCTTTCTGTGAAGTCTCAAATAGATTAAAATTGTACAACATGTTTGGCGCTCTCCACCGAGTATGTCGTATGGTGGAAATGTGAAAAACCAAGCGGGCGAAACGGGTCAGTCACAGTTGCTGTGGCAGTGTTTCCGCGAAACACAACCACCAAAGTTTTCTGCCCAGCCGCAGGTTTATACCGTCTTCTATGCCGAATGGCTCATCAATGTCCCAATCCTGTTGGTGCTGGCTGGCAGCATCGCCCTGGTGAGGCCCATCGAAGAGGCGGGTCCTGTGCTCGTGGGCTGTTTGTGGAGGAATGCCTGCCAAATGATCATTTCCCAACACGACGTTTTGCAACGGCTCATGTCCTGTGTTCTGAGGGGGTGCAAGCACTGCCCCACTGAACTTGAGAAAAGAAGTCTTAGCCAATCCCAACTCAGCTGAGGTAGCGGAACCTTTAATCGTCACCAACGTTTACATCGTCTTTGCCTGGGTGGCGCATTTCATCTCGAACGCTCCTCTTCGGTACATTGTGGTTGCTGTGCCCTGGCCACAAGATATCACGAGGGCATGACGGGCCACTGCATTGCATGTCAAAGCTTATGAATACATGAGCTTTAAGCCCGCACCATGTGGGGACAGCTTGCCGAGTCGGCAGACAAGTCTGAATGATGTCATGGGTGAGCTTGTTGAGACCCCTTCCCTGCGCCACGTATCAAGACCTACTTGCCTGAGGAAGCTAGATTTCCGCACGGGTGTATCTGAACGTAGGGCACACCTCAGGCTCCCAATGAGTTGCTAAGCAGCAGAGATGACATCAGCTGATTCTGTCCAGACCTTTCCGCAAATTCCGGTGGGTAGTTGGCAACCTAAAATCACTTCTTGATTCTTCCTGACTTTATCTCCATGAACTGTGTAGTTCAAGGTGGCCTTCTTGATGTACTTCCGGGCATCATGGACGATGTGCCTTTGGGTGAAGCGTTGGCGTGCTGATCACCCAGAAGGTGCCCTGTGCATTGCTGCCATTGGGCAGTCGTGGGGATTGGTCCTAGAAGTTGCCTGTGTCAACGTTTCCGTTGCCAGGACATCTCTTGGGCCGACCGGTCCTATCCTTCGCCTTGATCGTCGTCTTTGGGATTTACGGTCTGGTCTATCTGGCGAGGCTCCATGGAATCGTGAACTTCCGTGAGGAGCGGTTGTTCTTCGTCATCATGGACTCCGCGACTAAGCTTTGCGCATCCATGATCCTGGCTGGCATTCGAGCGAGTGAATTTCAAGAAGTGCTACTCTCAATGCTGGCCAACACCCAGACGTCCTTTAAGCGAGCCTGCAACTATGAGGACGAATGTCAGACACTCCTCGCGGACAAGTGACATGTCATAAGTCCGGTAGCGGTCTTTGGTACCAGCACGCCGAATTTTGTAACGTTTCACATTCAAAGCACATGCTGGATCCGTTGCGTCACTCCGTTTGAACGGGCTGGGACCTTCGGACTTCAGACCTTACGAAACTCAGGGCGAGGCCAACTCCAGACCAGATGGCTGCAAACTCTTTGAGCTCCGGATTGTCTGTGCCTTTCTACTTTTTGTCCATGCAGTTGGAACGTTTCAAGCCGGAAATTTGTCCAGTGCAGAGCACTGGTTGAAGCCGGAAGTTTGTCCAGTGCTGAGCACTGGTTGAAGCAAGCGAGAAGCAAAAAATCACACAGGACCTCAACGCGTTGGAACGGCAGCTTCTCACCGCTTTGCATATGTCTTGGCGAATTGCCTTTGTATCCTATGCGTAGGTTTGTCAGGTCTTGTCAGGCTTGCAGTTGCGCGCCAGAGTGTAGCCAAGGTATTTGCACAAGATTTTTGCCCTCAGCTGAGAAAGCCTGAGCATGAGCCAAACTGGCAATTTTGATATGTTTTTTTTCGGGACTAAGGCCTTGAACTGCTTTGGCCCTCTCTGGCTTAGCCGTGCAGTGTGCGACCCAGGGCATCAGATGTGATAATATGTGACTCTTGGAGGATAGGTGGATGGATTCAAAGGGCTAAGACTATGCCACATGCATCGTGTGTGCGCTTCTGCTGCTTCATCCGCAGCAACAACCCCACACGTCATGTAGAGTGTTCCACCCTGCGGGCAAGAAGGAAATGATGCTCTCTACTGGATAGATGAATTGGAAGCGCCACGACAATCGTTTCTGTGGCAACGCCCTCGCCCTTGTTCAATGTGTGACATGTGCGCACGTGCGCCCTTTCTTTGCCATGTCATGTTGTTGCGTAGGTCGAAGTTTGTGACGTGTTCCTCCAGAACCGGAGGAAAACTCACTCAATGGCATGTCCATGCAAACCATGTGCATCAACCTTGGGTCCTAGAGAGGAATTCACAGATTCGGGACTGGTTTCGTCGCACTGCATGTTTGAAATCTTCCGGATTCGAGCAAGGTGTTTTTCCCATGAGGGCTGTGGCTCCTTGTAATCCATACCCGCCCCCACTTCTTCTCAGGCGCCAATGTGCTCATAGCTGTGGGTGGGGGGGACGAGCGGGGGCGGGATTCGGGCATATGCGCGTGCGTCCTTGGTCCTTTGGCCTTCGGGTGTGCAAAGCTGCAGGCACGGCTTAGCTACTCAGGCCTTGCCTTACCTGCGGAAAGTGGACAATGGCTCCATCATCATGATCGGCTCAGCAGCTGGCGGTAGACCCATGGGAAGCAGCATTCCCTACAGCAAACTTGGCTGCAAAGCGGTGACTGGTCGTGGGGGAAAACTAGATCTCTTCCTCCAATGGCATGCCGCGCTTTGCTGCAAGTACTCAGGCATGACGAGAGCAGCACTAGCCTCGGATTGTTCCAGAAATGTTGTATGCTGCCCAGGGAGGCCCTAGATTAAATTGGTTCTCCAACTTGCAGCCTGCTTGCCGTTCAGGCCATGAACCATTTGACAAAGTTGCTGGCCAAGAGTCAGGGGCCAGTCCGGGTGAACTGCGTTGCCCCTGGCCTGATTGAGACGCGAATCACAAATGGCAGCGAATCTCAGCTTCATTCAGGGGGAGGTGGGTAGATATTGATGGTTCTGCCTGCAAAACACTCACAGCAAAGATGCCTTTTATTGATTGTTTGATTGGTTACTTGCACGTTTTTTGTTTTACCCTTTTGACCTGCATCGAAGTGTGTGTTTTGGCTTGTCACTTTTTCGTGCCGGCGCATGCAAGACATGATGTCCGACGCCGTCAAATTAATTTGTTCTTCTTGACTCTCTCACATTGTTTGCACCAATTCCCGCTAGTGGTGGTGACACCTAGTGGGTATATAAATCCATGCAAATCTCTCGGCATACCAGCGGCTTTGTTCCGTGCCACAGTGCTTTTGCTCATGCGGAAGGTCAGCATTCTGTCAACCATTGCCCATTGCTGTTATACAATCTGTTTGCTTGGGCCCCGCATGCAATCAACGTGCTTTGCGATTGTGGTCATTCGACGCAAGGAGTGGGATGGAGCTTATGCAGCTGTTCGCGGCCTCACTCCGCTCAAAGCAGTCGGGCAGCCGGCGGCTTGGCAGCAGATGCAAATCGCCAAATTACTTGGTATATTAGCTTGCAACCCTGCTGAGAGTGGTGGGCCAGAATCATCCAAAATGCCATTGTACTGTAGAGTTTCCACGAATCATCAGCTGATTAAAAACAGTCTCACCTGGAGGCTTGGGCGGGGGCGGTGCGGATCACCATTTGTTTGAGGCAGACCTGCAGGATGCCGTAGTATGCTGTATCAAGTCCAGGCGCTTGCAACGCAGCGATTCGCACGTTTGGCAAGGAAGCTTTACTGCTTGCTGCATACATAGTTTCTCTGCGGGCATGTCATTCGCCTGTAGGTACATGACTGGCCAGACCATATACGTCGATGGCGGCGCTTCATTAGTCTTCTGAGCAGGGTGACTGGCGCTGTGCTGGCGCAAGAAAACTACGGGCCACAAGCAGAAGGGCAAAGTGGGACCTGTGGGATGGCAGAAGCGACAGAAATAGAGTGAGAGAGGGAGAGAAAGAGGGAAGGGCAAGCACTGCATAATATCTTTGTCGTTTTTGCACTGGCAGCCTGAAGGCCCTTCCATGGTGGCGACAAGCAGCCAACTGTCTGAAGCTTTGTCGGCCTTGACAGCCCCTTCCTTCCAGATCTTTCCAGCAAGGTTGAGTTGAACAAGCTGAAAGCACAGCTTTTGGCAATCTCGCATGCCTGAGGTTGGCCCAGTGTGTTGCTGGGACCTGCTGAGGATGGCAGGCCGTCACTGGCATCAAAATGATTCGTGGCCTGAAACCTTTGTGCAGGGATGAGTGGCAACTGCTGCAAATCTCGTACGAGGTGGGTGGCTGCGGATGGGACCACGCCTTAAAGTTCGATGTAAAGTTACCCTGCTACATCAGGCGCTGCAAGCCTGCACCTTAGCACGGGCTGCTTTTGTTACGAAATTTGACTGAGTGTTGGCGACAAGGTGGCAGGTGGGCTTTGGAAGGTTGGCGCCAGCTGCCAATTGTGGCCAATATCTCAGGCTGCGTGATGCGGCTCTTTTTTCAGCGCTTCCAGCGAGCAGTTACTTTGATTGGTGGGCAATTAAGCGTGCTCCTCATTGACAACATGCGCTTGAGGCCACCAGGTGCAGGTGGCATAGATGCCCGCGTGGCCACGGGCTCAACGCTTTTGGCCACTCACTTTCCTGAGGCTCACTAAGTGATGTTTCAATCGACATGAAATAAAGATCACCTTCATAGAACTGAAAGCCAACAGGTTTTGAGCTGTCATGTATTTGTTGGCCGTTGAATTGCATCCGTTTGATGCACAAGGTGTCCGAAGCGCAAAAGAGCTTTGCTCAGTATGGGCTGCAAGGTTTCGCCGGGCCGCAGCCCGAGCCTGTGATCGGGGGCCGGAGAAGGCGTCCCGTTGGCCAGGCTGGCACCTCCAGATTTCATTGTCACCATCATGGAGAACAAGGAGACCGTGGAAGAGCCCCAGACCCAGTCCGATTGGAACGAGAAGCAGAAGCAGAAGCCGGGTGAATCCAACAAGAAGAAGCCCAAGCAACTTGGATGAGTGGAGATCAGTTGTCGCATGGCCAGAATCTGATGGGCTGATTGTTTCACAATTCATCTCCGAGGAATGGTGATGAAGATGGGACAAAGAAAGCCCAGAAATCAGAAATCAGGCAAGCAACCTACAACTTGTGTTTGCTCATGAGGGATGTGGCCTACAAGTGCCTCACGATCGGAATCCTTGGCAGGTTTCGGTTTCAACTGCGCGCAATATCTGACCAAGGCCCTGTTGCATTTGAGTTCAGCCAGCAGAATTCTTGCAATAGATGCCAAGTGGCCGGTGAAGGGGAAGGGGGCAGCACTAGGGAAACATTGGTCGTGTTTCGAGAGCCAGACAGGGAAAGGAAGAAGCTATTTCCAGCTGACCTGAGGCCACGAGGTCATGGACCGGCCTGCGAAGGACCGCGCTATCTCCATTGAAACTGCTTCCATGTAGATAAATTGCTGGCTTGCAGCAACTTCTGAGGAAACTGGCCGCAAGGCCTTCGAAGATCGGGCGAAGCCGGGCGCATAGAACCAGACCGGTTCATGCTGCAGGGCACGCATTGGCCAGGCTGCTGGATTTCTTGGAGCGTTTGGCCCAGCGCCATGTCACACGCCTTGCCCCAAGCACCCCATCGCAAAGAGGAAGCTCGACTGGGCTGAGGCTCCTGAGCTGCTCAAGGCGGATTGGTGTTGCAATTTAGTATCGGCATACGCGCCTGTTTGATGTGGCGGCCCGCTTGATCTGACAACACGTCCAGACAGATTTGTTGCCGCAGTTGTTCTGTACACATTATTGTGGTTAATGGGTAATTAGTTGTCGCTCGAGGTGGGTCCATCTTTTCCTTTTCGACAGGGTGCATGTGTACAGAAGCCGGCAGGATGAAGCTGATGCAGCTTCAAAAAGTGCACTCACTGTGGGCTTTGACTGGGGATGCAATAGAGGCCTGCAGCCCATGAGCTTCAGGGAAACGCGTGGAATTGAAAATTGTTGTGGGCTGATAAGACTGACAAGGTGTAGCAGGGCCCCTGCAGTTCTGCTTGGCCCGCAGATTTCGTAGCAGTGGCTTCAGTTGTTTGTCAGAGCCTGCAAGAGGTGCGGATTCGCCACGTGTCAAGCAGCATTGATCCAGCACCCTTTGTCCAAAGACCCGGACGCTTCTCCTTGACATCCCGTGGCGGCACATGGCCTGAAGTGAGACAAGCCAAGATCAGATTAAAGTGCAGGGAGGCTTCGTCACAGCGAGCTCGACGAGATGTGCGTGACATGCATGCAGGAGACGCACAAGCGCAGAAGACACTGGAAGCAAATGGCTTGCAAGTGCGCAGGGGGAAAGCTTGGGGGTTGGCAGGCGCAATCGCCAAGCGAGGGAGTCAGAATTGGCAGGATGCGTGGGATTTGCTTAAGCTATGCATACAATTGGGCGTGGACATTGCCAAGCCTGACACGGCAGCATTTAACGCTGCTTTGACTGCTGTTGGGGGTGACTCAAGATGGGCGCAAGCCCTGGGAATCCTGACCTTCATGCGCACCACTGCAGTTCTTCCCAACATTATCACAATGGGAGGAGTTCTTCGTAGCCTGAGCCGTTCAGAAAAGAACAAAGCTTGGCAGCAAGGGAGCCATTCGCTGCAGCAACTCACTTCGCTGCGCTTGCAGGTGAATGTGGTTGTGTGTAACACTGCGCTTGCATCATGTCGATTTGCATGGCTTGCTGCGGTGGATGTTCTGGCGGGGGCGTCATTGCAGGAGCTGGAGCTTGACATAGTGTCGTTGAATTCAGCTTTGGCAATTTCAGTGCAAGCCCCCTGGTCACGTGGGGTGCTCTACTTGCGCAAGCTCCATGAATCAGCTTTGGTCCCAGATGCCATCACCGCGAATTCCAGAATTCAGCTCTTCGCACAGCACAGTGCTTGGCGCTGGTGCTTGGTGATGCTGGACGGAGGGTGGCAGTCTCCAAACAGCGCAGGCTTGAACATTGCTATCAATGGCTTGGCCAACAAGTGCAAGTGGCAGAAGGCATGGGCAATCAAAGTGCCTGAAAGCAAATGCCTCCAACAGCAAAATATAGATATTTAAAAATATAGCGTAAGTTTGCTAAGCTTTTCGACTATATTATATGCTTGACTTGTTTACTGGTGGGTAGGCCTTGGGACTTTTTCTACGGACTGGAGATGTTTGCCATGATGAATTCTCCTTCCGGGCATTGATGAACATCATGAATGTTGAGCGGTGGGGGTTGGCAATGGGCGTGGCCTCCAAGGCAAGGGAGAAAGGTGTGCAACCTGACCTGACTGCGCTCAACATGTTATGCAGCAGCTGCCGTGAATACTGGCAGTTAGCGCTGAGAGTTTCCACACGGCTTTTTCGCAGGCTTCGGCCAGACACAGTGACATCATGTACGCTTGCCTCTGCTCATGGATTTCCATGGTCAGGTGTTCTTTTACTTCTGCAATTTGAGGACCCTGCAGTTACGGCGGCTTGCCTGAGCTCTTTCGCAAAGAACATCAAGTGGGAAATTGCCTTGACAGCTTCTGCTGCGTTTCCTGGCGGGTGGCGGCGGTTGTCCCGCGCAGAGGTCACATCCAGCCTGGCTTTGATTGAGGGCCAGAGTACATCGTCGCAATGGCACCGCTCGCTTGAACTTGTGCATCGACTGGCGCTTCTCGCTTTGAGACCGACATTGCCAATGCTTAGCGCCATTGCTAGCACAAGCCCGGTTCCTAGTTGCTTGTTTGGAGTTGAACCCTGCAAGCATGCTCGTCAGAATCAACACGTCTTTCAGATTGGATTAGCAACCCAATGTTTTGCTTGTTTGCACAACACACCGAACTGGCAAGGCTTAGAAAGCTTGCCCAGGTAATCACTTCGCTGCCTGGAGACGCGCTTGCAGCCTCGTGCGCCAAGTCCAGAGCAATCAGTTGCGCGCAGACGTTATTCTATGCAACACAATTGCGGCGACCTGCGCTGTGGCCCAGCAGTGGAGGTGGGCTGTGAATTTGGCGGAGCTTTTGCCACAGTGCCAACTGCCGAAGAGTGAGACTACCTACACAGCACTGCTCACAGCTGAACGACGATGGAAGGAAGCAGTGATAACGCTATCAAATGTATGGAGTTCACGAGCCACACCGTCCAGTCCCATTCTGGGTGCAGCGATCAGAAGCTGCTGTTTGGCGTTGCAGTGGTCCGTGGCCCTGCCTTTGCTTGAGCTCCTGACACTGGGAACTGGGCACTTGGAAGAGGTTTTCCCGGCTTATGAGGTGCTTCTGACAGCTTGTGGCAGAGCAGCAGCTGTCCGCACGCCTCAGCCCCGCATCCATGATTTGCGTCGTGTATTTTTAGAACGGCTCCGTGCTTTCAAAGGTTGCAGCAACAAGAAGCGTTTTTTTTTGCAAACAGGTAGTAGAGTTTGCATATTTGCATATTTGTTGTTGTTGTTGTTGTTGTTGTTGTTGTTGTTGTTGTTGTTGTTGTTGTTGTTGTTGTTGTTGTTGTTGTTGTTGTTGTTGTTGTTGTTGTTTTAGTTGTTGTTGTTGTTGTTGTTGTTGCTGTTGCTGTTGCTGATGGTGTTGTTGTTGTTGTTGTTGTTGTTGTTGTTGTTGTTGTTGTTGTTGTTGTTGTCGTCGTTGTCGTTGTCGTTGTCGTTGTCGTTGTCGTTGTCGTTGTCGTTGTTGTCGTTGTCGTTGTTGTTGTTGTTGTTGTTGTTGTTGTTGTTGT